ATCACCTTCAGCGTTGACGTTTGCAATCTGGACCTGCATTTCACTGGGACAGTGTCTGTTGTAGAAAGCTCCTAACAAATCAAACTGAATTAGATTTACACTTCTAGCATGATTGCTGCACTAGAAAAATGCGCCACCTCCATCAGGCCTATCACTGCACTGTGATTAGACAGAACGTTAGGCCTGTATTGAATGTGGCAGATCTACTCAGGCATTCATATAAGCAGTGCTTCTTGTTATGTTTACCATTGTAGCTTTTACGTGCTCCTCTACGAGAGGTTGCTCGTGATTGAAAGCACTATTGTAATGGCGTGTTTATGTTTCGCAAAGCAAATGTAAACATGCAGACCTGCTACTGACTTTATTTGTGCTTATCTAATGTTCCACCGGTGCTTGTGTACATATTGAGGGTTTTTCATTTGTAGAGAAGTGGGAGGTCTTGATTCCTGCTTCCTTTTTAAGTGTCGCTGTCGAAAACTGTTGACTTTTAAGGTTCTAGCTAAGGCTCTTCCACAGTAATGAGTCAGTGTTGATGTGAAGGTCTTGTACATGGCAGTACATGACTTTGATTTTGATGCAAAAATAAATAAATAATGATGTTAAGAGCTAATGAAATAAAAAGTTGCTAAGCATGCTGGGAAGCACCACCACCAGCTGTGACATATATATATATACACACAAGTGATTTGCAATACTTAAAAAATGTGTTAAGAAATAAAACGTTAAACCAAGTGGCATTTTGTTGCTGTCAGAACGAAAACATTTTGCTTTTAGTTTTTATTTTAGTTTTATTTTTGCAGCTTTTCATTTTTGGACAAATTTTAAAAATATCAGTTTTCCTTCATTGTAGGTTTACCTACATTGTATGAAAAATATAATTGTTCCAAATTATTTTGGCACACACAGAAGGTTAAGAATGTTTTTTCCTCCTCCTGTAAGATGTGAGGTTTTGGGCCAACAGAGATTTATTTTACACAGCCATTCTAAGACTGTAATTTCCTGTTTGACAGAGTTGTATTTCAAAAAGTGGCTGGTGAGTTTCAGACAGTTATTATTGCAGTTTTTTTTTTTTTTTGCAGATATGCATCAAACATGCCTTTGCACTCCTGAGTTCATGATCCCATCAAGCTCAGTGACATCATTGTACGAAACACAGCTGCAGGCTTTACAGTAGCCTTAGTGCAGTCTGGTTGGAGTTCTTCTCTCCTCACCATCAGTTTGATGTTGTGCTAGATGTGTTTTTTTCCCAAAAACAAATATCATTTTGTTTAACATTTTATGAAGTAACCTAAAGAACATCATTAAAGTTTTCCAGTGGTAAAAGTTTCCAAATACAATCATTCAACTAAAGCATTTGACCACATCGACTGATGTCAACAGTGATCAAAACTTTCACCTCCTTATAATCAGTATTGGTATCTAGTGTTGTAAAACTCGAGCCCGATCTCAGTCTTGATACCAGCTGAGTATGATGCCTCCATCTGAAGTAACTGGAAACTGAGCCTTTTTCTATCATTCTTTAATGAATTAATGAATTAATTCATAAAACAGTGGTAGATGCAGCCTGTCAGAATTAAGAAATTAACAGAATTATTAATCAAATCCACTGAGAACTCAGTGATAACTGCTCTCCATTCACAGAACTTCAATCACAAAACCTTCACTTGCATTCAACAGAAATGCCACCGCTATCATAATAAGAGTCCCGTGCAATTCTACCTTTAAATATGTTAAATGAATTCAAATGATCACTAAAATGTTTATTGCTGTGTTCATCCTACTACAATAATAATAATAATGATTATAATCATCATCAGTAGTAGTAGTTGAGGTTTGTTGTGACAGAAGACTTGCTAATCAACATTGACTAAGATGTGCTTCAATTAAAATACAGGAAATTTTTTTCCTGCTTTTTTTCTACTAACCCCTCTGGGAGAAGACCACCTGGCTAGTGGCCCCCAGGTGATTTGAGTTTGAGACCCCTGCTACATGTTTGAATAAAATCTGTTCGCTGCTAGTTGAGAATCTAACTGATTCATTCAGCGATGCTTAACTGTATGTATGCATATATTTATATTCAGTTGACTTTGGAGATTCTGAATAAATTTCAGAGAAAAAGACAGAAAACAACCATCATCTGCTTCCAAAGTTACAATGCAAAGTAGGACTATAATATAACAATGATTAATAATGTGGTAGATTATGTGTTATTTAATGATATATTGATCATGATATAAATTTTATGATAAACCACAAAACATCAGTTCTTCTCCTTTCTTCTTTAATTTTTTTACTTTAAAAAAATATCTTGATCTACTCTGGTGGTCTTGGCTACAACGCTATCGGTATCGGTAGAAAACTGTTCATATCACACCCTATACTGTACCATAGTAATATCTATGTTAGTATTAATACCTGTCCAATTAGACTTTAATGTGTATCATTTACAGTGATGTAAAATGTATAATTAATGATCTTAAATGACTAAAATATGAGCAATTCTTAACACAGTGTAGCTCATTGTTATGGATCTAGTGTCTTAATGAACCTGTGATCTGCATATAATTTACTTAAATAATTCCCAGTAAACCTCTGATATCTGTGATAAGCAAATAAGCATATCTCTGTGGCAATAATTATGGAGATATGCGTGATATCTGCTTTACTCAAATGCACCCGTTGTCTTTACTGGGCTACTGTGACTACTGACAAAAGGATCTGGGAGGTAAAGAAGAGAAATTCCTGGTGACACTCTTTAGACAGTGTAAAGTTAACTATTTAGACTGAAGATATATATATGGGCTGGCACGGTGGCGCAGTGGGTAGCGCTGTCACCTCACAGCAAGAATGGCCTGGGTTCGATTCCCGGCTGGGCGACCGGGGTCATTTCTGTGTGGAGTCTGCATGTTCTCCCCGTGTCTGCGTGGGTTTCCTCCGGGTACACCGGTTTCCTCCCACGGTCCAAAAACATGCAGTCAGGCCAATTGGACATGCTGAATTGCCCCTAGGTGTGAGCCCTGTGATGGATACGGGTGTATCCTGCCTTCCGCCCAATGACAGCTGGGATAGGCTCCAGCACCCCACCGCGACCCAGTAGGATAAGCGGTTTAGATGATGTATGTATGTATGTATGTATTTATTTGAGTCTCTGCTCCTTGTGTTACTTTCAGACCCCATGGTGTAAACACTAATCACTAATCATAAACAAAATAAACCCTAATTGTAGAAAAATAGAATAATAAAATGAAAAAAATAATATAAATATAAGAGGGTCCTGAAATGAACACTAAAGTGACATAAGGCAAGTACAGATTAAGGTCTGTGGGTATAAATAGTGCAAATATAAACAGTAGTGTAATTAGAATGAGCTTATGGGAGCAGTTAAAGTGATGAGTGCGTAACAGAAAGTGATGGGTGCGTAACAGTCCCTGAGAAGGTCAGAGTGCAGTATTGGGGAGTGGGGGTCAGGAACCTGTGTTTGACCAGTGCTGTCAGAGTGCAGTATTGGGGAGTGGGGGTCAGGAACCTGTGTTTGACCAGTGCTGTCAAAGTTCAGTATTGGGGAGTGGGGGTCAGGAACCTGTGTTTGACCAGTGCTGTCAGAGTTCAGTATTGGGGAGTGGGGGTCAGGAACCTGTGTTTGACCAGTGCTGTCAGAGTTCAGTATTGGGGAGTGGGGGTCAGGAACCTGTGTTTGACCAGTGCTGTCAGAGTTCAGTATTGGGGAGTGGGGGTCAGGAACCTGTGTTTGGGTCCAATCTTTGTGTGTGTGTGTGGGGGGGGGGAGGCAGAAGGTGGGGGGCAAAGTAGGGAGAGAGCTGAGCATCCTGACAGCCTGGTGGATGTAGCTGTGCCCCAGTCTGCTGGTCCTGGCCCGGAGACTCCGCAGTCTCCTCCCTGAAGGCAGCAGGCTGAAGAAGCTCTGTAGTGGGTGAGTGGGATCACCTGCCATGCAGAGGGCTTTTCTGGTGAGACGGGAGCTGTATATCTCTTGGAGGGAGGGGAGGGAGGTGCCAACAATCTTCTCAGCTGCTTTCATGATGCACTGGAGTGTCTTGCGGCAGGACACGGCGCAGGCGCCATACCACGCGGTGATGCAGCTGGTCAGGATGCTCTCGAGGGTACCTCTGTAGATGGTGCACATGATGGGGGCTGCTCTACAGGCTACTAAGTCTTGCTTTCTCTCAGTAGTTCTTCCTCATGCTGTTTCTCCTTTTGAGTCTTGGGTCCTCTTAGTGGTTCTTCCTTATGCTCTTTAGAAAGCTATTCTTTTGGGTCTCTGTTCTTTTCAGTGGTTCTTCCTCATGCTCTTAGAAAGGGTCTCCTTTTGAGACCTGATTCCTGTCAATGACTCTTCCTTCTGTTCCTAGGGAAGGTCTCCTTTTTAGTCTTGCTTCCTCTCAGTAGTTCTTCCTCATGTTCTTAGGGAATCTGTCCTTCTTAGTCTTGTATCCTCCCCATGATTCTTCCTCATGCTCTTAAGGGGGGTTCTTCTTTTGAGTCTCAGTACCTGTCTGGTTTCAGTAAAGCTCCTTTAGACTAATGTTCAGCATATTAGGAAATTTAATTAAATTTATTATTCACTAAATGGCTTCTTATAACATATTGATCAAGGCTGGGCAGTATGACAGTGTTTATTGTTATTGTGGTATATTATGTCCCAACATGTCACAATATGCTTTTCTCTGTATTGTCAATACTTAAAAACACTTCCCAACTGCATGTTTTACTACCAAGAAGCATTATTAGTCCTGTTTAAATGGATTTAGTGCAGATCAGTGTGTGAAATGATTGTATTCATAGTCTTTGATGGACATTTTTAAATGTGCCACTGCTTTGTCTCTTCCAACTTATCAGATGTCAGAAAAATGTATTGTGATATTCCGTGTATCATGATAATGACTTACATTTTTGCCGTATCGCCAAGCTCTAATATCTGATATTTTAGATGTATCAAATACGCATGTAGTAAAGTTTTATGTGTTTTTTTTTTTCACCAGAGATCAGATACTCGTGGATCTATAACGGCCGTCCCAGCGTCCTCATCAGAGATAATCGGCGCTTCGTGTCTCAGAGGACGGGAAACCTGTACATTGCGAAGGTGGAGCCGTCAGACGTGGGGAACTACACCTGCGTGGTGAAGAACATGATGACCAACGCCACTGTGTACAGCTCACCGACCCCGGTGGTGCTGCGCAGAGACGGTGAGGGTCCTCAGTGGGCTAACTGCTTTATCCTGGGCAGTCAGCTAGCACAGCGAAAACCCTACCAGACATGAATCAATTGGCTTGAGCGTGACCATGTTTGTTTTGTCACCGCTTGGAGCCACAGCATTTGTGTTTCTGCAGCCTCTCAGCTGTGTGTGTGTGTGTGTGTGTGTCGGTGCATTCATGGCTGACTGAGAAACTGCTTCTGTTTAGCATTTGTACGTCCTGGTGGGACACAGCCGTCCTCACAAACAGAAGCACACACACACACACACACACACACACACACAGATACACATCTTTTACTCACAGACTCAGACTGTCTCTTCTACATAGTCCTGTGCCGTGCACGTTCTTGCTATCATATGAAGACCCCCAAATCTCCAAAGTGCTAACTATATAGACTTAAATATACTTATAACTGAAGGAAGAAATGTTCTTAACTTTAAATGTACCTTAAATATAATGATATTTTTTCCCAAATTACCATTTTAGCTGCTTGATTAAACCTACATTGCAAAAAGTGTATATTGGCAAATGAAACTATCTTAAATCTAATTAATACATCTAATATTCCTCATGTTGAGATTGTTTTAAGCTTATCATAAGATTATATATATATATATATATATATATATATATATATATATATAATCTTATAATAAGCTTAAAACCTATAATAGCTTATAATATATATATATAATTATAATATAATTTGCTTGTTTTAAGAAATGTGCTTAAAACTAGATAAATTATCTGCCACTACAGTGAGATCATTACTTTACTTGATAAAATTGCTGATAACAAGTATAAAATGTCTAGAAATATGCTAGATAATCTTATAATAAGATAACATCCATCTCAAAATTACAAATATTAGATAGATTAGAATGGAATTAAGATAATTTCACTTGACAAGAAACTATTTGCAGTGCATTATTTGTAGGTCCACTGTAACAGTGGATTATTATTCCAGGATGACCCTTCACATTTTAATGTGAAATATGTTTATCTACCAAAGTAAATGTGAAATATTGTTATTGTGCAAAATAGTAATTCACCTCTGATTTTCTACGAGGCTGAAGTTGGCTTCTTATTTGGAAGCTTTGTGTTCAGATATTCTGTTGCGCTTTAAATGGAGCAGCAGGTCAATTCTGGCACCTGTGTGATGTGGAACAGCTGCAGCATTTAAGGTGGAACAGGAAATTCATATAAGAAACCAGCTTTAGTTTTGTCTAATTTCTCAAGACATACTCACCTCTCAGACACTGCTTGAATTTGGGAAATAGTACAGTCATTCGTGGTCATTACTGTCATTACAGTTTTGCAGTGTCATCTGATGCTGCTGACCAAGTTAGGCAGTTTCTCAGTTTGTACAAGAGGAAACAGAAGCTAGAATAAAAGGTCTGGTGTCCATGTCAGGCTGAGGCTCACCCCAAAAGACCAACCTTTATGCTGCCTCAAAACAAAGCAGGCTACTTCAGATGGAGCAGACTAGACAGCGGGAGCTGATTCAGGATCTGCTGTGTTTTCATTTTTATTCGAAATGTGACTGAAACATCCCTGACAAATGGGATAAAGTTAGTGTGGTTTGCACTGTTTATACGCCTGGGTATTGGCATTTATTTGTGGCATAACGCAATTAAAACTCAACATACCATCCACTACTAGTTCACACCAACGTAAAGGGCTGCTGGTGTTTTCAAATGGTCAAACAACTGCACTACTAATCGGCAGGGTTCAGTAGTAAAGGAATACATGCAACGGTGTCACATCAGGATACAAAAAAGGGTAACTGTATACCATTACTACAGAAAAGAAGCACAGCTATCAGGTTAAAGGTACATTTATAAAACAGAGTGATTACCGAATATGTGCAAATTTGTCAGAGTTCACCAAAATTCATAGTCAATGATAAATGGATCACATAAATCATGTACAGTTTTTCATTTTGGGAAAATGTGTGAAGAACAGATCTATTGCCAGCTAAGAACATTGACTCCCCAGCGGTCTTTTATTCAGCCAGCCTATCAAATTTTTTGTAATATTTTGTTCTTATTGGCCGAACTAAGACCTGCTGCATTTTCCCAAAGCTATTTAAATCAAGCATTTGCTCTGGTTTTTGGTTTTACAGCGGGAAACCAATCTGGAAACTGTTTTATTCTCGTTTGTTACATACATTTTTACAGTTTGACTAGCTATGAATCAAATGTATTCTAACGTTAACCTGCCAGGTTTTAATGCTAACATTAACTAACAGTTCCAAAACGTGGAAGTAAAGCAGTTTCCTGAGTGGTAAAGTTGGTTTCATTTTCGCATAAATGCTTTCTTTCTTCAGTAACCTTTGGATGGCTGGGTGCAAAATGTTAATATGTGTAAATGATCATTATTTATAACTTGTACTAATCTGTAACAATCAGCTACCACTTAGTTTTATGTGAAATTAATACCTTTTGAAACTTGTTTCTGTGGACTACAGAAACTGTTGAGAGTGTCTACGAATTACATCGCAGTTCATCCAATGGCAAAGTCCAGTGACAAACCTATGAGAACGTGTCTTGATGACGTTATCTTCACCAGGAAGAGAACAAAATTAGCTAAATTGTGGCTTCAGCTGCAGAGAACATCTTCGAGTAGCTTTAGGTCCTGTTGGTGCCAGTCTTGAGCACGCAGAACCATAAAACTAGAACCTTCAGTACTGAGGCAATTGCCAGTGGAAAAAAGCACAGTTCCAGTTTTCTGGTTCCAAAGGTTCTAGTACTTTGTGCAGTGAAAAATGCCCTAAGGATGCAACAATAATGCCATTATTATCAAGCCTGAGGTTTATTTGTACTGAATTTTTCCTGTTTTTCCCCTCTTGCAGCCGTGATGGGAGAGTACGAGCCGAAGATTGAAGTCCAGTTTGAAGAAACGCTCCATGTGGCCAAAGGATCGTCAGTTAGGCTGGAGTGCTTTGCTTTAGGAAAGTAGGTCTAGCATCTGGACTCCATCTCACCTCCAGAGAGCTCTGTAGCCAGCAAGGGATCTGCACACATGGCACGCAGTACATCTTAGCGCTTTATTTAAGAGAAACGTCTCAGGAAAACACAGCCTCCTTTAATCTTATGAAAATGCGGCTAGCGCGAGAGAACGGGGCATTCATCATGGCAGAAACAGCTGAAGCCCGTGTTTCAGGGGTTGGGTGGGAGGTTGAGACCTCCGATTGTCTACAGGTAATGTGTCAGGGGACGCAAGGGCTGCAGGAGGCCTGTCAGGCATGAATAGCTGTGGGTTTAGCTGGCAGGCACTTTCGAAAGTGTGCAAATTTGCCATGTAGGTCAGAATGTAGAGGAAATGTTTAAAACTTGCTTTGCTGGTTTAAATGACTCACTGTAATATTAAAGTGCTGTAGTGCCAGTTTCCTCAGTACAGCTACCTTGTTTGTCCTCCATTGCTGCAGTAACAGCCTCTACTCTTCTGGAAAGGCTTTACACTAGAACATTGCAGTGAGGATTTGATTGCATTCAGCCACAAGAGCATTAGTGAGGTCAGGTACTGATGTCGGATGGAACTTAAACTCATCCCAAAGGTACTGGATGGAGCTCCATCGCTCCAGAAAACACAGTTCCACTGCTCCACAGCCCAATGCTGGGGTGCTTTATACCCCTCTAGCCGACATTTTGCCCTGGGTATGGTGATCTTAGGCTCGTGTGCAGCTGCTCCAGAGCATCTCGTTCTATTGGTTCATAATTTTCTATAGATAATTTGTTACATTCTTTTAAATGCTGCTTAAAGTAGCTGAATTCACTCATGAGAAGGGCTGTCTGGATATTTTTGGTCATATAGTGTGTCTTGTTACATTGTTTCCATGTATAGTCCATCTTTTTCATGCACAATTTCTGTTCATCATTCATCAGTGATAAGCTTCTGACTGGCTGGACATTTTGGTCAGTGGATTATTCTTGACCCAGTGGTGACAGTGAAGTGTTAAAAAACACTCTATTTACTGGTGCCAGTGTACAATACACTAACATTCCTCCATGTCACTGCTGAGCTGAGAACGATCCACCACCCAAATCATATCTGCTCAGCGGTGGTCCCGTGCTGCTCCCTTTCCTTTGATGTCTGGGTAGTGGGGGGCTAATAAATTATGCAGGAACAAATAGGCTACAGTCTGTAACAGTAAAACTCCCAAAGTGCAGTAAGACTTTCTTTTACAGTCCCTTAATTTCTAGGTATTAACCAGGTAAGTGTGAGGTACAGTCTAGATTACTATATCATTATTTTGGGTACCTTGATGGTTCAAAGAAAGCTTAACTAATTTATACTTTGAAATGCCAAACAGGTTCCAGATATGAACTGAGTAATAATCCCCAAAGATATGTGTAATTATTTTGGGTAAAATGATGATAATTGCTTAGACGGTTTAACTAACTGAACTACAAAAAAACAGGTTCTAGATATCAACTGAGTAATAATCCCTGAAGATATGTGTCATTATTTTGGGTTAAATGAGGATAATTACCAAGACAGTTTAACTAACTGAATTACAAACAGGTTCTAGATATTACGCTGATGAAGGACACAGAAAAATGCCTCGTAAGGTGGTTACTACAGACATACTCAATGCAAGAAAGTAAATCAGATACATCTCAGCGTAGCGGGTCATATGGTGTAAAATGACAATACAAAATGCAAACATAGTTTTCTGTTCTCTGCAGTAAAGAACCCAATAAAACCACAGTGAGAATCATTGTTTTTTTTTAAGCCAGATTCGGTTTAGTTAATAGCTAATAAACAGATATGTATTGTATAAAACCCTTGTAAAAAAGTGTAAAATCTTTTTATGTCTTTTTTTTTTACCTTTATTTAACATGGGAAATCACACTGAGATTAAAAATCTCTTTTACAAGACAGCCCTGGCCAATAAAGCAGCACAAAATAATCAACAAATAAACACCTCCACAACCAACAAAATCAAATCTGAGTCAAAACCAAATAAAAAACTGGAACAAATAGGATGATATAATTCAAAAATGATCTCAAAACCAGTCTAGGAAATAGATCAGTCCAGTTTCAAATGTTTCTGCAGATCGTTTCATGCAGATGGAGCGCTGTAACTAAAAGCTGCCTCGTCATATTCAGACTGTACTGTTGGAACATCCAGCTGAATAGAACTATTAGAACGTAAATTTTACCACAACTTATTTGTTGGTAAGAATGCAGACAAATATGAAGGACGCTGACCAAATAGACAAAAAATATCCAATGAATTTGTCTTCACGCTGAAAGTGAAGGCCATCCAACCATTTCATAAAGTTCACAGTGATGAGTTGAATGTCTAGCACCTGTTATAAGCTTTAATAGAGAATGATAAACATCCAGTGAGTCCTACTGTAATCTAAAATAGGTAGAAAGGAGCTCCAACTAGTTTCTTCACGCCAAGCAAAAACTAAAATAAAATGACAACTTTAACTTCTTTATCAATTGTTCAACATGCAATTTAAAAGGCTGATTATCATCTAACATAAAACCCAAGTATTTATGAGATGAATCTAATTCTATTGGTCTGCCCAGCAGTGTGTAATCATTTTATGTAATCACAGAGAGCTAAGATTGTGCTGAACAGTCACAAATGTTCCCTGTAAATTTAAAAGAGCCTCTATTGGTGATGGAGCAGGAAAATAAACAATGGTCTCATCTGCATATCAGCATTTAAAACAATTTTTGCAGAGATCATTAATTTCCTGACCCTTTTAACCCAAAATAATTACACAGTACTGTGAAGGTTGTACCTCACACTCTATTTGCATTTTAGTGTAATTTAGTCAGTGTACCTTAGAGGTTACCGCCATTTTACTCAAAATTATTATTTAGCACCTCACGCTTACCTAGATAATAGCTAGAACATAACCTTTTCAACTCCTTGGGACCACCGGTGGTTCCAAAACGCACTTCTTCATATTCCTTACTTCATAACTTTCATATTTCATAAGCTACATTCTAAAGGTGGGGGTCGTATGAGAGCTGTAACTGTCCAGTCAAATAGATGGGTGATGTAATTTTAAACCCTTATAATAAAAGAAGCTGAATATTGAATGAATGATTTTTTCTACTGAAAGTCGACCCATTTTTCCACAAATCTGGGCTATAAACTATAAACAGATGGCGTCTCTTCAGGGATCTGCTCTGTAAACATTATTTTTATTAAAAAATGTTGGCTTTCAGCAGTAAGTTGTAAGCATATAGCATTATGTGTATGATCATAAAACACATTTACTGTTAATTTTGGGAGCTTTTACAAAAAAAATAAATAAATAAATACAATAAAAATTGACCTTAATTTGCCTTACGATTTGGGCATGTAAATTCAGATGGACAAACCAAAATCTACCCTGGAGAATAAGAGTATTATTAAAGAAAGTGTTACCCAAAGTGCACCTATGTGTTTGTTGTGTCTCATTAATTGGCCAATGAGTGTAGATTTAAGATAGATGTACCAAAATAATTGATAACTCTGTATACTGTAGCATTCAGAGGTAACAATAAAACAGATCCATGTATAAAACGATTCTAATATGATATTAACATTCTATAGATTTCAAACAATGTGTAGGAAGCTGAAAAATGACAAAATGTCATAATAATTGAAAAAGGTGTACAACATCCATAATGAACTTATAATTAACATATATTAACATCCATAATGTCTCAAATTCAAAAAGCAGTGATTAAGTCATGCTGATCAGGCAGCTATTCATACTTATTTCATGTATTTATTTATGACAAGAAATGACTATATATGATTTTATACCATGTCATAACTTTTTAGTATTCCCAAAATACTTCAAATTATGAATAAATGTGTAGTTTAACATATTATTATACACTGAATAGATTGTTATTGAATAGCAATTATTAATAATAATAGTGTGTACTTACAGAGATGAACACCAGTCAGTGCTACACGGTCACAGCAACACAACTCAGTGCACTTATATGTCTGTTAAACCATTTTTAAGCTCAATTTTGCTCTTATTCTTTAAGTGATATTTAACATGACCTGCTTGTTTGGTGGTCAGTCCAGTGCCTTCCATCTCCTGGAGACGAGCGGACGGAAGCCCCTTTCCTGGAAAGATGAAAATCAATCACTCCAACGGCGTCCTGGAGATACCTTATTTCCGCCCAGAGGATGCCGGCTTTTATGAATGCGTGGCGGAGAATTCCAGAGGCCGCAGCGTCGCTAAAGGACATCTCATATTCAACGGTAGGAGTAGCTTAGGAACGGTTTGTAGCAGGAAGAGCAGATACTTAACTAACGAGGGCTGCAAATTAGACGTGTTTATTTGGTAGAATATGTCTTGTGGAGGAGCTGGAGTGTCAGCAATTCTGAATGCTTTGGATTAATTACAAGTCTGTTATGCAAAACATATTTCTTAATCTCGTCTATTGAATACGGCATTTTGTTGGTTTGTTACCTTTACAGCAGGGGAATCAATAGAAGAAATTTTAATTGCGTGTCAGGAACTGGACGGCATGGTAACCGGCACTGAATAATGAATAACCTGTGGACGAATACATCTTATTGTCAGTCAGCAGAGCCAGACTAATTAAAATGGCTGCGGCACGAGTCGTCAGGTCGGCGGCGAAAAACAATTTTGCTCACACCAAGAAAGGGCACAATAAAGACAGGATAATCTGGAATTAATGTGTACCAATTAACCTCACTGTTTGCTGGTTTATAAAAGGCTAAAGCCTTCTGCAGCGAACATGCGCACTTACCATGCGCTGTCAAGAGGGAGGCGAGGAATGGAGAGAGAGGGCGAGAGAGAGACTCTTGTTTGTGGTGTTCTTAGCTTGTATTCACAGAAAGTGGTCTCTAAAGTGAGGGTTTCCCACCTCTTCGTCGTAGATGTGGAGCACCTACACTGGGCTCAGACGCTGCGAGATGCTTATATGGCCATCGAGGATGATCTCCACTGGGAGTGCAGGACTAACGGTAAACCCCAGCCTGTGTACAGGTGGCTTAAGAACAGCGAGGTCTTGGTATCCCAGGTGAGAACACCAAGGAGTCTATCAGGATTTTGCGTTCTTTTGCTCTGCACCACATTTCATCAGCTGTCTTCTATGCTCTGTTTCCATGCATTTACCTTTACAGTGCAAAAGTCAGAGACCACACTTTGTTTACAATGCCATTTCCCAAAAAGTTGGAACGCTTTGCAAAATGTAAATAAAAAAAAAAGGCATGGATGTGCAAATCATTTAAACCCTATGTTTCATTGAAAATAGTACAAAGACAACAAATCAAATGTTGAAACTGAGAAATTTTTTTGTTTTTTGAAAAATATATGCCCATTTTGAATTTGATGCCAACAACACGTTCCAAAAAAGTTGGGACGGGGGCAACAAAAACCCCTGGTGGTAAATTGGCAACAGGTCAGTAACATGATTGGGTATAAAAAAGCATCTCAGAGAGGCGGAGTCTTTCAGAAGTAAAGATGAGGAGGGGTTCACCACTCTGTGAAAGACTGCACAAGCAAATATTGCAACAATTCAAGAATAACGTTCCTCAATGTAAAATAGCAAAGAACTTTTGCTTTTCATCATCTACGGTACAGAATATCATTAAAAGATTCAGAGAATCTGGAGAAATCTCTGTATGTAAGGGACAAGGCCAAAAACCCGTATTTGCTGGCCGTGATCTTTGAGCCCTCAGGCAGCACTGCATTAAAAACAGACATGATTCTGTATTGAAAATCACTGCATGGGCTCAGAAACACTTCTAAAAGAAACACTGTATATGAATCACTGCATCCACAAATGCACGTTAAAACTCTAAAATGCAAAGAAGAAACCAAATATAAACAGGATCCACAAACGCTGCCACCTTCTCTGGGCCTGAGCTCATTTAAAATGGACTGAGATGAAGTGGAAAAGTGTTCTGTGGTCCAACGAATCAACATTTGAAATTCTTTTTGGAAATCATGGACACTGTGTCCTCTGGGCTAAAGACCACTCAGCTTGTTATCAGCGCACAGTTCAAAAGCCAGTATTCATGATCGTATAGGGGTACATTAGTGCACACGGCACGGGTGACCTGCACATCTGTGAAGGCACCATTAATGCTGAACAATATATACATGTTTTGGCAACATAAGCTGCCATCCAGACGACGTCTTTTTCAGGGAAGGCCTTGATTATTTCAGCAAGACAATGCTAAACCACATGCATGTATTACAACAGCATTGCTCCGTATTAAAAGAGTCTGGGTGCTAAACTGACCTGCCTGCAGTCCAGACCTGTCACCCATTGGAAACATTTGGCACATTAATAAATGAAAAAAGTGTGATATTGTACGATTTCTGTGTAGTTTTCATTTTGACTGTTGCACAGTGCTGTATAAATCCTTACTTTCTGCATTTTATCAATGAAGGCCTGTATACATATGAATATAACTATATAAATGGGAATTCTAATATGTGGGTGATTCCAGTCCCTATTCCTCATTGTCATAACTTTATAACTTTCATATTAGTTTCATAGCAGTTTCTGCATAATTCATAGTAGCTTAGCTTTAAGATTAATAGCTAAATAACAGGCCTGGAGACTAAGGGGTTACTTCCATTGTTTGTTTTTGTCCTTTTTTAACTGTACCCTCATTGTTATTAGTCTACCAAAGCAGACTGCAACAGTATATCCATCTTCTAATGACTTTCCTTCTGTTTCTGAATCAGCCGCAACCAACAAATCTGCACACAATGGCCAGAAAATTGTTCGGCAAACTATAGTTTGGGATCACTTGGATCAAGATGTGGAAAAACTGAAAAATTAAAGCTGAAAAATGAATGACTTGCACTTTATAGCCGTTTTGACTGGACATTTAAATAAATGAAAGGTGGTCTCTGACTTTTGCACAGTACTATATATCAAAGTGCAACATATTTAGTATTCCAATAATGTAAGCCTACAAAAAAGAAAAAGTCCCCTGTACATACAATAGCTTAAACAAAAACAAAGGTGCCAGAAAAGGTTCTTTGGAGTGATGCCACAGAAGAACCACTCTGGGTTCACTGAAGAATGGAGAGGTTTCAATTGAGTTTCTAAAAGAATCATCTGTTGAGAGGTTCTTTAGGGAGCAAAAAGTGGTTCTTCTATGGCATCGCTCCAAAGAGGTCATTTTGGCAGCTTCATTTATAAGAGTGCAGTACTTTTCTTACCACTATCATAAAAGGCATTTTGGCAGTGGACGAGCAGTAGTTGGAGTAAACTGTAACAGTCTGAGCAACTTAGATTTGTGATGTTTATTTCAAGGATCATCTTATTTATGTGGAATGTATGTAATGAGGTGTGTATTAGGCTTTACACTAGCATTCAAAAGTTTGGAATCACTTGCTATATTAATGCCTCTTATTCAGTAATAACTACCACTGTGTAGATAAACTAGGCATCAAAATGTAAACTGATGGTTTGTTTGTATTTTATATTTCTTTGAGAATGAAAAAGTTACGGCCTGGTAAAAAATGAATAAATTGCAGCTGTTAGAAAAAAAACAAAAAAACTTTTTTCTCTTTTATTTAAAATGACATAATTTGAAAATGCATGTTGCTGTTTACATTTTCTGTAAATCTCATAATGAATGCACCAAAACAAATGGCCCAAAATCACTTTGAAGAAAGTCTGGTTCCATTGACTTACATTAAAAGTAAAGCATGTTTTTTCCTTCTCCTGTAAAGTTACCATTTCGGAGATATGAGGTTTTGTTCCGACAGCAGTGATGTTATTAAATCCTAAACTGTAATTATCTATTTATATTAGCAAAATTCCTATGAATAGCTATATGAACAGAGACATTTTATTACTGCTTTTCTAATGTGAGACATTCTGGATATTAATTTAATTATATTAAGTTCGTTCTGGATGTTTCGCAGCTTTCCCAGTTATTATGGAAGTCCATTTATCATCAAAAAATTCATAGATTTTTACAGCATCATGCAAATTGTTTGCAATCTGTAGAATATTAGCATCATATTAGAATCACTTTGTACATGTATCTGCAACAAAATTGGCTTTATAGTATTGAAAACAGCGATTCCAAATTTTTGAATGCTGCTTTAGCTATTATTATTAATGTTATTATTATTGTTGTTGTTATTATTATTGTTATGCATTCATGCTGTAGCTACTGTTGTCATTTTGTCCCCAGGACAGAATTCACGTCGACGGTGGAAAGTTAACAATCTCTAAAGTCAACCTGGAGGATTCTGGGATGTATCAGTGTTTGGCTAAGAATGAGCACGGGGTCATTTACGCCAGCGCTGAGCTCAAAGTCGTAGGTAAACGACCTTTCATTCATTGAAGAGACGACAGTCAGAAGCTGTTCTGTCTGGCCGTCGGCTCATAAAACACGAACGTGTCTCGCATACCAGAGCATGTCTGTACGGCCCAGACTGAGACAAGCACAGCAACACTTGTTGTGTCTTTGTTCGCAGCCTCTCCTCCAGACTTCTCCAAGAGTCCGCTGAAGAAGTCCACTCTGGTACAGAGGGGAGGCGAGGTCATCATCGAGTGCCGCCCGCACGCCTCCCCCAGGGCCTCCTTCTCCTGGAGGAAAGGCAGCGAGCTTTTGAAAGACAGCGAGAGGTACGGGTCACTGCTCCAGCCACTGAGAGAAGCCCTGATAAGCCGTTTCTCCTCCAGGTCCTGTAGGTTCCCTGGGTTCCCCTGATAAGGCTGGTAACGGGAAATAAATCTGCACAACTTTTATGTCAGTCGATCCGTCAAGACATGTTTGTCTGAAGTTTGCTTCTTTAGTTTTGCTATGGAGCTATGAGGCTAATGTGCATGTGTACAGAAATTTGGGCACCTCTGTTAAATTCCGGTCTGTGCAAAAGTTATGGCACATTTAAGACATTATATTCTAATACAAAGAAACAAAAACTGCACTGAAATTTGCAGAAGATGTCGTAATTATAAATGTTCCCTATAGTAAAGGTGTTCAGTTATTCTCACCTTGGAGTAGTAACTTGACCTGAGGTGTTCAAACTTTTGCACATGACTGAATCTAAGCAATGACAGCTTATACCCCACCAGTTAGCATTAGCACGGTGTCAACTGCATGCCATCACTTACCTCAAACAGTGTGGAGTTTTTAATAATCTCTATTATAAAACAGATCATTCCGGTCCTAAAATCTGATTGGCTGAGCCACGTTCAAAGCTGTGATATACGCACACCTATGATCGCTTCACAACAACTGAACTGTGTACTGCGCCATGGCATGAGAGACCCTTTGTGCTGTTAATGGAATAATCTGACTCTCATGCTGCTTGCGTGGACCACCGAGTGTACTGATGGAGTAGAACACATTTTTTTGTTTAAACTGAGGGGCTGACAACTTGTGTGTTTAACTAGAATAGCTGGTCAGCTAGCTAACGGGCTAAAATATAGCCAACAGCCTAAACAAGTCCATCATTAATATCACAGGCTTGAATTAAAGTACTTACGGTGTGATTAACTGTAAAATGGCAGTATAAAAGTCTAAAAATGTCACTTGAATATCTGTCAGAAGTTGCATCAAACCCAGGCTGAATCCTAAACGGCTCTGTACTCCCTAAATAGTGTTCTAGCTATGAAACAGTGCTTCATTTATTGAGTGTGGATGTGTCTGAATCCCAAATGACTGTTCCTTAGCTGTGTTTTGCTCTGCTGGGCTGCAGGATCCAGTATTTAAACTCCTACGTAGTGCACTATGTAGGGAGCAGGGAGCCGTTTGAGATTCAGCCCCAGCGTGAGAAGAGGGCGCCGCTGGATTGGCGCTAAATAAGACTCGTGTGGTAATTTGGTAAACCAGAAAGTACTTATAAAGTGAAGGTTTTTGCATTAAACAGTGTTGTGTTATCATATGTTCATTTTTATGTGACAAAAGGTTAAAAAATCCATGAAATGACCACAATATGCAGCAATGGGTGACCGAACGTTCTCCTAATTCAGCGTCCATGGTTGCTTGTCGGCGATACCATACTCTAAAGAAACAACATTTCTTGGGAGAATACTTGCGTATGTCGTATCCGCTTTGTGTCGTGCCTAAGAACATCTTTCCTGTGTTAAAATCGCAGTAACACACGGCCTCTGGTGGCTTACTGCTTTAACAGACTTGCTTATGTAGTTTCTGAAACTGTATGACATTCTTATCTTCAAACATGGAAAAAGTACAGACGATATTCAGGTTTTGATGAAGGTTTGCTGTCATTGTTTTTTGCTGTGCAATGTACTTTTGTCTGTGTTGATAGATAACAGTTTTTTACAGTGTGAGAAACCACAGAAACAATGTATTTGAGATAATCACATGATCCTGATGGGCCTGTACTGCACCACCCCCTACTTGTTTATCTGTCGCCAGAGGAGTTATGCCATCTGCATGTCTCCTTTTGGCGACAGTAAAATCATATCATCAATTTCAGGATGTAGAACCAGAGCTGTTTATGAGTTACATTGTTGTCTATCACTGTATAAAAGATGCAAGAGGCCTCCTTTTTTTGTTAAATGCAACGTTGTTTTCCAGTTTAGAACATAATTCAGCATTTATTATTGATTCTTTCGTTCAGAGTAAGAATAAAACACACCGGATGTGTAATTTATATTCCTGTTTGTTTTCTTGCTTAAAATGTTTTAGACATAAACTAAATAAAAAACCTCACAGTTTTACATATCAAATGCATGCAAGTAATGAGCTAATTGGCGCATTAACTTCTATTACTTGTTAGACACAAGATACCCCCTCAGATACCCCCTTGCTGCTAAATATGTAACAACATGTCAACGCATGAGAGACAGTGGGTAACACCCCCCATACCCCCACCCTACTGACCCCCACCCTCCATATCCCCACTCGACTCACCCCAAACATTACATAATTTATTGTTATAAATTAGAAATATAATATAATGTAATTTGTTTACTAAATAGTATAATTACAGTTACAATGCTGATAATATCATAACATTGTAATTATAAAAAAAATAAGCTTTACTTGTGTTAGTTCTTTTTACCTTACTTCATTTTCATTATTGTTTTCATTGCTCATTGCCCCTGTTCTCGTGCTGTAGCAATTCTATACTTCACAGACATGCTAATAAAGCTATTCTGCATTGAATTGAAATGAATTGAATACATTAGCCTTGTAGCTCCAGTGCACCAGATATGTCAGCGAGCTTTGGACTGTATTTGGGCTGAAGAGAAATTAGATCTTTCACCCAACCTCTCTTTTAAATTCACCAACAGAGCCACGTTTCAGTGACATTTACACTGTCAGCCCCACTGCTTATTCTTCACTGTCTTCATCAGAGCTTCTGACTCCCGAGAGGTCTGCAGTATTTTAATTAAGATGGAGTTAGCAACGTAAAAAAAGCATCATTTTTTTCCACCCAGCTTGTCCAGGCACAGATGTCGTACGTTTGAAAGCGACATCATTTTTTTTCCTGATGGTATTTTCACACAAGACTGCATGCTTAGTGGCACGCTAATTAATTCGCTGCTGGTCCTGCCTCTCGCCGGTGGGGTTTCCACGGGGCAGACGCAGTCTAGCATGGCCATGTCAGAACAGGTGGCAGGAGAGGAGAGCGCATGATCTCCAGTAATGGATGGGGATGAAGAGATGGCCGCAGTGGTCCATCTGGACTAGCGGGAACATACACGCCATGACTCACTGATGCTGTCTGGAGCCCCGGAGGAACAGAGTGATTATTGGATGTGAGGGAGGGAGAGAGAGAGAGATGGAGAAACATGGAGATTGAGAGAGAGAGAGAGAGAGAGAGAGGGAGAGAGAGAGAGAGAGAGAGATGAAGAAACATGGAGATTGAGAGAGTGAGAGAGAGAGAGAGAGATGGAGAAACATGGAAATTGAGAGAGTGGGAGAGAGAGAGAGAGAGAGAGAGCGAGATGGAGAAACATGGAAATTGAGGGAGTGGGAGAGAGAGAGAGAGAGCTCTTCGAGTGTGAGAAGGCACAAAAGAAAAGGATGAGCAGTGGTCAGAGAAAAAGAATGCTAATTTTCTGGCCAAATACTGGCTTTATGACAGCCTACTGCTATAAAAATGCAGAAAAGACCTGTTATATAGTTGTAAACAAGAGTAGTGACCACATTAAAGCCCGAATTTTGTCGTTACATTTGACTTTGCTTAGATTCAGTGAGCCAGATTCATAAAAATCAGCCCTAATCTGGCCACACCATGTACTGCAGTTAAGCTCTATTCATAAAGCCACTATAGAGGTGATGAATGCATCGATCTCTGTTTACTGCTCTGGTCTTTTTACACGTCTTCTTGCTAAAAGCCAATCAAAATCACATGTTTATGAGCCAATGCGGGTTATTGACCAAAGCGCCCGTTTAGGTACCAAAATGGACATGATATGGCAAAGAAAACCAAAACTACAGAGACTCAGAAAGGAAGTACAAGCATGTTAAAATTGCAGCAACAGTAAAAAACCAATTAACACTGTGAATTAAATCAATGCAGTATCAAAGAATAGAGTTGGGCGATTTGATGGTGTGTTTTTGTTATTGTGGCAAAAAATACGCTTTTCTGAGCGAATTGTAAATCTAACTTGTACTTAAAGAGTACTGACCAACTGCATGTCTTAAAAAGAGAGCATAATTAGTCTTGGTTAGTCAGATTTAGTGCAGTACAACATGTGAATCCATGCTAAAAATTTTTGTACCGTGTTAGTTTTTAAATCAGGCACCACTTGTATATCATGTCTGTGTGCCAAAACATCATGATACGCATTGAAATCATCATGAAAATGTCTTTCAGTATGATGATAGTATATTTTTGCCAAGGTCTATCAAAGAGGTCCATTTTTTGCAGTCAATAATAATTTATTACATGACCATCTTACAAACTCTAATTAACCCTAAACACTTAACAGACTGTTTTTGTGACTGTGCCTTATCACTGCTGTCGGAACAAAACCTCATAAATCCAAAATGGAAGGAAAAAAACATACTTTTACTGTAAGTCAATGGAACCGGAGTGTTTTCCAAGTCATTTTGGTCTGTTTCCTTTGGTTGGTTCATCGTGAAATTTACACACAAAGGCAAACATTTTCAAATTATGTCAAAAACTGAAAAATGTCAAAAACGGAGATACAAGGTTTTGTTCCGACAGCAGTGATATGTAGATGAGCCTCTGATCTCACTGACCTTGTTTTGTGCCTCATTCAAAAAGCAGTCTGAGCTGAAACACTCCTTATAACGTCAGTGTGAGTGGACAGTGACACTAACCGTGAATTCAGAACAATAGTAGTGATATAATACTGTACAGTTTCCATATATGGACTGTATAGACTGGGGAGTCTTTAGCATCTTAATGTGATTTTACACTGCAAAAAAATAGTGTCTTGTCAAGGGAAATGATCTTAAATCTAGTTGATGTATCTAATATTTTTACTCTTGTTACAATGGAGGCTCTCGAGAGGACTTTAAAAGCTTTAACTTGCTTTAAAGGCCATTTAAAAGGCTGTATTTGAATGAGAGCGCTACAGTCTGGGATTCTATCATTGCAGTGTACAGTGTGCTGCAGCTGAGCTTCAGCCTGCCCTGCTATGGCAAGGTCAAAGGGTCAGATAACTTCTTTCCATGC